CCGTACCCGAAAGTTAGCCGGGGTACCAGATCCCCCCTAAGGAGGTGGTTTCTCGCCGAATTTCGGAAATTACGGTCAGAGGCACAATGCGAGTGGTTGCCAGGGATCGGTAACGAGATCGTTCTCTTCGTCGGTTCCTATTATTAACGAATGACCTGGGACGTGTCTCTTATTGACGGGCAAACATCCTTGGAAAAGGAACTCTAAAGTTGCTTTACCGAAGGGATCAAAACGAGGTCGTTTAACAAACAGAGAGACTGGCATCTGGATCGTTTCGATGAAAACGGGGTATAAGGAAATTACGCGTGGGAACCACTGCAATTTTGCGACTTTATATTTTCGATAGCTGGAGATTCGTTCCAAAAGATTCGCGTAAAATTTTGAGCTCGATAGCTCTCTTCGAGGCGAAGATTTTCGTACTGGTATAGCGTTCCTCTAACTGGATCAGAAATTAAATTAAAGAATTATATATTTCTATTATAGCAACAGAAACTGGGACTGTTAAAAATTATGTAAATGACGTAAATGATTTATTTCATGAAAATGAAGAGGAGATACCAGAAAATGCATGAGAAGTATCGTCTAGTTCATGATATATAGAAGGAAGATATATTGTTGATAATAAAAATTTAGAAACTGGAACAATAACATTTTTTCATAGCGATAATGATAAAGGAAAAATATATTATGGTCCATATACTTGTCCCACATTTCCACAAGAAATATGAACGTTGATGACACGAACAAAAGGTAAAATTCGCAGCAGTGCTGGAACATTAATTTGTAAATTTCGAAATAGAAAATGATTATCAATTCGGGTAAGAAAATATGTTAAAATCGTATTAGCAAAAAAAGGTAAATATTATGGTTCACAAGATACTAATGTAATTTGTTTATATAATATTAATGTCCAAAAAACTATGCATTTTATTAATAGACTATAAAAAGGTTTTCTTATATTAAAGGAATATGAAACTTTATCTAAAAATGAAATTCTTGAAAAATGAGTTTGAAGCAGAAACTCGTAAGGTAAAAATTAATTTCAATTTACTGGGGACCGATTATGATTAACCATTTTTCATAAAATGTGATATACACATTGTTAGGAAATTGTCACAGAAACACTGAGCCGTTCTAGCACATGAGTCTGTGAATTTCTTGCCAGCGCAAGTGGTTAAATCCTTTTCACTGATCATTATGGATCCTTAAATTCACCCGTGTGGTGGTCATCAAAACGTACTTACTTTAATGCCCCCTTCTATGCTAATATCACACGTCAGAACTGGAGCAAAAATTCCTGGAAAAATAAATTTTAGAAAATAAATTTTCATATCACTGGAGACCAATTGTGATTAAATCCTATTCACAGATCATCATGGATCCTTAGAATTCACCCGTGTGATGGTCTTCAAAACGTACTTACTTTAATGCCCCCTTCTATGCTAATATCACACGTCAGAACTGGAGCAAAAATTCCTGGAAAAATAAATTTTAGAAAATAAATTTTCATATCACTGGAGACCAATTGTGATTAAATCCTATTCACAGATCATCATGGATCCTTAGAATTCACCCGTGTGATGGTCTTCAAAACGTACTTACTTTAATGCCCCCTTCTATGCTAATATCACACGTCAGAACTGGAGCAAAAATTCCTGGAAAAATAAATTTTAGAAAATAAATTTTCATATCACTGGGGACCAATTGTGATTAAATCCTTTTCAGAGATCATTATGAATCCTTAAATTCACCCGTGTGATGGTCTTCAAAACGTACTTGCTTTAACGTCCTCCTCTGTGCTAATATCACACGTCAGAACTGGAGCAAAAATTGCTGGAAAAATAAATTTTAGAAAATAAATTTTCATATCACTGGGGACCAATTGTGATTAAATCCTTTTCAGAGATCATTATGAATCCTTAAATTCACCCGTGTGATGGTCTTCAAAACGTACTTGCTTTAACGTCCTCCTCTGTGCTAATATCACACGTCAGAACTGGAGCAAAAATTGCTGGAAAAATAAATTTTAGAAAATAAATTTTCATATCACTGGGGACCAATTGTGATTAAATCCTTTTCAGAGATCATTATGAATCCTTAAATTCACCCGTGTGATGGTCTTCAAAACGTACTTGCTTTAACGTCCTCCTCTGTGCTAATATCACACGTCAGAACTGGAGCAAAAATTGCTGGAAAAATAAATTTTAGGAAATAAATTTTCATTTCACTGAGGACCAATTGTGATTAAATCCTTTTCAGAGATCATCATGGATCCTCAGAATTCACCCGTGTGATGGTCCTCAAAACGTACTTGTTTTAACGTCCTCCTCTGTGCTGATATCACACGTCAGAACTGGATCAGAAATTCCTGGAAAAATAAATTTTCATTTTACTGGGGACCAATTATGATTGAATCCCTTTCACAGGTCATCATGGACCCTTAAAATTCACCCGTGTGATGGTCCTCAAAACGTACTTGCTTTAACGTCCCCTTCTGTACTGCTATCACACGTCAGAACTGGATCAGAAATTCCTGGAAAAATAAATTAAAAAAGATAAATTTTCATTTCACTGGGGATCAATTATGATTAAATCTCTTTAAATTTAAATTTCTGAAACATTCGTATAACAAATTGTCGTCGTTCCTTAGAATTCTTTACACACTGGACGAGTCATCGACGATCTTCAACCCCCTCGATATCCTCTTATCCCTCGCGACTGGAAATAATAAAACTGTTTTTATTTTGGAAGCAGTGAATCATCGAATGGCGAATTCGATAAGGAGATATTGCAAACGAATGTACTTATCAATCAGACCCCAAATCTGTTCTGTTGCTTATTTAGATTAGCTGTCGATCGCGTCACAATTCATTTATTAATTGCTTTTCAGTCACGTCTCGTACATCTCCGTATCACCGGACGGAATCGATCGTCTTTTGTTGTTCGTTTCTGAAAATAATCGAATCTCGTGGCCACGTGATTAACTCGGTAGAGCTGCGCGGCTCGCTGAGGGAACCGGTGGTCAAGGGAGCAGAGAGGGATGGAGAAAGAGGAGAAAATCAGGCAGAAACCGTGAATTAGGCAGCTGCGTGGAACAATAACTGGTAAAAGAGAGCGAAGGGTTGCGTTCGTTTAATACACGGTTTAATGGGGATTGTCGTGGGCGCGTGCAACCACATCCTGTGCAATTTTTGTCACGCTGGCCACGCTCTTTTTCAATTTCTTTCGCTTCCTACGCCCACGTCGAATACGCGTTAGGGGAGTTCGGCGGATCGCAACCACCCACGAACCACGAAAATCAGAGGGGTGTACACGGACCCTGGGTATTGTGCGTTCACCGTTGCTCGCGATTAACCACTATACCCACGAATCGATAATAAAGGCCCTATCGTGACACGGCAGAAACGAGATACCGTGACGGAGGGCGTTAGCTGCTATCGGTTGCAATCGATATTCCAGGAATGTAACGCGAATATCGCACGAGTCGTCCACGAGGCCAAACGATTACCACGGTTTGGGGAATTTTTGACAAATTTCCGATTGGCGTAGGTAATTCTGCTTTTGAATTTTTCAACGATTTAATGCCAAAGTAGCTGATTGTGAGTTAATTTTTTAACGAGGTAAAGTAAATATCTCCTCCTCTAGAATTTTTAAAAATTTCTGATTGACGTAGGTAACTCTGTTTTTGAATTTTTCTATGATTCTGTGACAAAGTAGCTGAGCCAATTCTCTATCGAGGTTTTTTGACGTAGGTAACTCTGTTTTTGAATTTTTCTATGATTCTGTGACAAAGTAGCTGAGCCAATTCTCTATCGAGGTTTTTTGACGTAGGTAACTCTGTTTTTGAATTTTTCTATGATTCTGTGACAAAGTAGCTGAGCCAATTCTCTATCGAGGTTTTTTGACGTAGGTAACTCTGTTTTTGAATTTTTCTATGATTCTGTGACAAAGTAGCTGAGCCAATTCTCTATCGAGGTTTTTTGACGTAGGTAACTCTGTTTTTGAATTTTTCTATGATTCTGTGACAAAGTAGCTGAGCCAATTCTCTATCGAGGTTTTTTGACGTAGGTAACTCTGTTTTTGAATTTTTCTATGATTCTGTGACAAAGTAGCTGAGCCAATTCTCTATCGAGGTTTTTTGACGTAGGTAACTCTGTTTTTGAATTTTTCTATGATTCTGTGACAAAGTAGCTGAGCCAATTCTCTATCGAGGTTTTTTGACGTAGGTAACTTTATTCTTGAACTTTTCAGTGATTTAATGTCAAAGTAATTGAATTAATTTCTTAATGAGCTAAATCAACTATCTCCGTTTCTAAAATTTTTGAAAAATTTCTCATCGACGTAGGTACCCCTATTTTTAAATTTTTCAATGATTCAGCGCCAAAGTAATTGGATGAATCATTTTATAAACTAAAGTAATTATCATAATCCCTCGAATTTTTAAAAAATCGCTTATCAATCCACTTGCTTCGAGGCTAACTTTTCATACCTAAAACGAATTTCCACTTTTCGTTTCTTGCAGTTAATCGATTTGGCAAATGAGCGATTCGAGTATCATAACGCGTATTATCGCGCATTTCACCGTTGATTACTCGTTGCTTCTTGGTTCAGTTATCAGTTCAGTCCCCTCGGGCTATGTTACCGCGTTATATCTTCCTATTGATTCCTTTGTCTGTAATAATGCATTGCAAGAACCGGTAAATAGCATTCGCAGTTAATATCCACGAAACGATAACAAACTCGAGTCGAGAAACGAGACGGGACGATAATGATTCACATAACGCGAGCCACCTTGAAGAATCGCGGAAACTAAAAAGAAGCATGAAATATACGTTATTCGAGAGGAAAAAGAAAAATATTCCCCACAACGAATTACAAAAATACGTTATCGGTAGAAGTATCGAATGGAGGTATTATCTTGTTCTATCGAGCAGCAAGAGATAACAGCGCGTGTGTTTAGAAGTAGGGATAAGTTGGTTCCTTTATATTGACTACCATATACGTTCCCCATCATTTTCCATCTCTTTTTTATCGTAAAACCAAATTAACTCGTAGGATATTCGAGAAAATCGCGAATAAATTCGACGCAGTGGTGTGCAAGGGTGTTTTGACCGCAAAGAGGGATCATGAATCGATTACTCGTGCAAGTTTTCCTCCTATCTAGCTTGGTCGTTTTCGGTGAGTTCGCGACTCGATAGCGCGATATTGTGCAATTTCCGCGGGATCGTTGCAATTTTCTTTTTTCCTCGGCAAATGTAATCGTCGTGCGAATATTTACGAGTGTGTGCACGGTTTCATTTTGCTTTTCTACCAACAATTCCAGCGCTACCTCCGGGCACCGGTGGTCAGAAGGTTGAAGATGTCAGGGTTGAAGAGCAGAAGCCGGAGAATGATTTTTCGTACGTGCTTCGTGGCAAGCAAAGGCCGTGTATTTTGGCGAATATGACGATTAGAATAAAGGTGCCATATACAAAGGAAAATAAGGTAAGTTCTAGCTGCGAAATATTCGTATCTAGTTTAACTCTACGTACTGTCGTCGAATATGAATCGATGCAGTCAAGTCCCCTATAACGCGATTATTTGCAATCGGGAAATGCGTTCTGTATGAACAGCACTGTGATAAACATAGTAATAAGACGAATCAGAGTAATTTATATCGTGTTATATGGGAACCGTGTTATAAGAAACTCAGAAATAAGATAAATTGAAAGAATTCGAACCGCGTTATATGAAAATCGTGTTGTAAGGAAATTAGAATTAATTGAAATTGGGAAATGCATTCTGTATGAACAGCACTATGATAAACATAGTAACAAGACAAATCAGATTAATTTATATCGTGTTATATAGGAACCGTGCTATAAGAAGCTCAGCAATAACATAAGTTGAAAGAATTTGAACCATGTTATATGGAAATCGTGTTGTAAGAAAATTAGAATTAATTGAAATCAGGAAATGCGTTCTGTATGAACCGTGTTATGATAAACATAGTAATAAAACGAATCAGAGTAATTTATATCGTGTTATATAGGAACCGTGCTATAAGAAGCTCAGCAATAACATAAGTTGAAAGAATTCGAACCGCTTTATATGGAAACCGTGTTGTAGGAAAATCAGAATTAATTGAAATCAGGAAATGCGTTCTGTATGAACCGTGTTATGATAAACATAGTAATAAGACGAATCAGATTAATTTATATCGTGTTATATAGGAACCGTGCTATAAGAAACTCAGAAATAAGATAAATTGAAAGAATTTGAACCATGTTATATGGAAATCGTGTTGTAAGAAAATTAGAATTAATTGAAATCAGGAAATGCGTTCTGTATGAACCGTGTTATGATAAACATAGTAATAAGACGAATCAGATTAATTTATATCGTGCTATAAGAAACTCAGAAATAACATAAATTGAAAGAATTTGAACCATGTTATATGAAAACCAGAATTAATTGTAATCGGGAAATGCGTTCTATGTAAATCACGTTATGACAAACATAGTAATAAGCCATACACACCCCATTATGTAGGAACCGCGCTATAAGGAACTTAGAAACAATATTTATTATTCAGAAATGTTATTAATACTTTTCTAACCCAGAAATAATATTAATTGTTTTCTATCATAAGTCTTCTTATCCATCGATCTCATTCCATATTTCTTCTTATTTATATCTATTTCTGAAACAAATGTTTTATCCTCAAACACTCTTATAAAACCGTTCCAATCTGACCAGAATTCAGACATTCTTGTCACGTGGTTCATACATCGAGTACACCAAAATTACATTGTTTTATTAATTTAACAGGTCGTATAAATTTCTGGATAAATTTTTCAAGCCATTTGAGGCGTCGGAATGTTCTTCTATGAAAAACGCGTTACACGGAGCGTGTGTTATAAAACTGTCCCAATTTTTACACCGTGTTATAGGAGACTCGACTGTATTAATGTAAATCGTTATTAAAATCGTTGAAACTTTTATCACAGACAGAAGACAAGATTTTGGAAGTTGCAAAAGACGCCAGGGTGGAAGGCAATTGTGCGTCCGTAATATCCAACTTGAAATTGAGTTGGAAAGGAGGAACAAAGGATACCGACAAAAACAACACGATTCAGTTAATATTCATTAACGATAACAGCAAATTTTCCATCTTCTCGATCAACCTTACCGTTTATCAGGACAAAGATAATTTTCCTCCGAGCGTAAATACTATTGCAGGTGAAGATATCAGTGTTTCTCCTAGCCCTGACACTTCGTCGCTTTACGTTTGCCTTGTGTTCCAGATAAGGACAGATGGTTGAATGCAATGTCCGACATGGATCTTCGTTTATTCGCCGCGTCCGTGACGAACGGGATTCACAAATGCGATAAGGAAACAAAGGTGAAAGTCGGAGCCACAGAGATCAGTTTCAAAAATGTCTCTTTAATTGCATTCAACACCGACGACGATCTTTCAACGAAGAAAGGTAAATCGTAATTGCATTGCGACATGTCGGTTAGCGACAACACGTGGCGAGATTAGAAAGAAATCAGACTGTGTTTATACAGATTTCACGGAACAACCGTATTCAATATGCCTCTTGTCCCCTTCGAAATATTTTTCGTCCACGTTATTGCATCGATCTGGAAGGTAGGATCTAACGAAGATCCAGACTAGGAAAATATTTCGGTCTGCGATTTTTATTAAATTCGGTGGACCAAGTATCATTACCGCGTCAATTGTGTCTGATAAGGCGAACACTCGGCTGACTGATTACATGATTAAACTCGACTTTGTTTGATAACAAGTAAAGCGTATTAATGGTCTATCTGATCCTTAAGGTCCGTTTTCAAATCGCAAAGTTGCGCCAAATCTCTCATAGCTCGTGTCAGTATGATAAAGGTCCGTTTTCAAATCGCAAAGTTGCGCCAAATCTTTCATAGCTCGTATCAGTATGATTAAGGTCCGTTTTCAAATCGCAGAATTGTACGAAATTTCTCGTACCACGTGTTAGTATCATTAAGGTCCGTTTTCAAATCGCAAAGTTGCACTAAATCTCTCGTAACTCGTGTCAGTATGATTAAGGTCCGTTTTCAAATCGCAGAATTGTACGAAATTTCTCGTACCACGTGTCAGTATCATTAAGGTCCGTTTTCAAATCGCAGAAGAGTACTAAATTTCTCGCAATCCGCGTCAGTGTCATTAAGGTCCGTTTTCAAATCGCAGAACTGTACTAAATTTCTTACAGCACATATCATGATTAAGGTCCGTTTTAAAATCGCAAAGTTGCACCAAATTTCCCGTGACACGCGTTAGTATCATTAAGGACCGTTTTCAAATCGCAAAGTTGCACCAAATCTCTCATAGCTCGTGTCAGTATGATTAAGGTCCGTTTTCAAATCGCAGAATTGTACGAAATTTCTCGTACCACGTGTCAGTATCATTAAGGTCCGTTTTCAAATCGCAGAAGAGTACTAAATTTCTCGTAATCCGCGTCAGTGTCATTAAGGTCCGTTTTCAAATCGCAGAGCTGTACTAAATTTCTTACAGCACGTATCATGATTAAGGTCCGTTTTCAAATCGCAGAGTTGCACCAAATTTCCCGTAGCACGCGTCACGGTAATCAGAGTTCGATGACGCTTGGGATTACGCGAAGGAATAAACGTAGTCTAGCTTCTTTTCGGTCATGCACGCCACGTGTACCCTAATTAACGAAGAGTCGAATATCCGATAATCTATGAACTTACAGGAGAGCAATGTGACGGAAACAAGAACGACGCTAAAACGTTCCCTTATGTCCTGAATAGTACCACCACTAACAGCAGCTGCATGTTGGCAAGAATGACCACTTCGTTTTCAGTGTCGTATAAAACGAAGAATTCGACAGTAGGAACCGAGACACTTCTCTTGACACATTTACAGCTGTTCGTGCGAATTCCAGATCGTCCGATAACTTGACAATTCCAACGAAATCTTGCATTGCTTACGCTTTTGGCAAAATGGAAAGAATCACCAGCTGCGAATGTGTCGCGCGACAATATTTGTGTTTAATTAATCTTAATCGCGAATTGTTGGTTTCAGAACACAATTAAGTCCATGGCAGTGCCAATCACGGCTAATGTCATGGGAAATTGCGAACCAACGGTCTCTTCCATGGAGTTAGTATGGAACGCATCGTCGCAAAGCAAACAGACGTTCGCTCTAGCCCCGGGAAAGAATGCCGTAAAGTTTTACTTCTACAAGGAAAAAGAAAGTACCTACCTTGACATAGTGTACGTTAACATCTACCTGGATGAGAAAAATTTCCCGGATGCTGCGAGTATGTGCACAGATTTTTATATCATCGCTAGAACTATCTATTGCCAAAACTACCCCTAATTAAAGCAGTACCGGAAAAATTGTTGTAATTTCTCAAATGAAATTACAGTGTTTATTAAAATCCGTATAGCAACACAGTTGGATAGCAACGAAATATATAAAGTTTATTATCAATAAAAGATACAAGTATACTTATACAGATATGAAAGAATATGCGTGCTTTGTGAGTTATAATAATGCTCACCGTACTATGTCGTGTTTAAGACTGAGCCTTTCCAGAAAACAGATATATTACCTTATAAACTAAAACCCGAAGCACGGCCCAATAGGGCCCAATAGGGAAGGTCCACGAGATCTGAAAATCACTACTGGCCTGCAACCTGATTACCTGGTACCTGACACCATCGTTGTAAGCCTACGGTTCATTAACAAATTATTAACCCTTTGCACTCGACGACTTTTTCGTTACAGAAAAATAGTAATTCGGAGACTTGCTGTCATAGAGTCGACGATATTTTTAAAATGGTAAATGAGAAATCATATGCAAATTAAGACGTAGAATTATTTTTCTTCGATATTCCACACATCGTTAGGTAATTCTAAATTTCATATGTTAATTAACGTCGATCTTTAGAATTTGATTAAATGGTGATTGAGAGTCACCTCTCAAGCGCAAAGGGTTAACAAATTAAAAAACATTAACAAAAATAAAGGCGCATACTTAATTACGATCGCGTTCGAATGAAAGTCAATACCAATTTCGCCAAAAGAAACTGCATACTCCCCAATTGCAAAGATAAAGGCTCTGAAATGTGTCACTTTTACTCCCTCGACTAGTTGTAGCGACAGTATAATCCTCATTGGCCCACCAATGTCATAAAATTGTTTCGATGCAGACGTAAACGAGAGAATATCACAGCTTGTAAAATTCGACGAACCGTTGGCACCCGCTGAAAATGGACTTTATAATTGCCCGAAGAATGTCACGTTGAAGCTCAACGAGAGAATTAATATGACGATAAACGACGTCATATTAGTCGCGTTCGATGTCCAAAAAGATTTCGCGTCGAAAAGGGGTAAGACGTTGTGATCGCTATAACGATCGCTATGGTGATCGCGAAAGAAATAAAACAAACGAAAGGAGGAGTTAAACGCGTGGAAATTTTTCAGTCGGTGACTGCAGAACTGCTCTCTCCAAGGATAACTTCAGGTACGTCGTGGAAAACCCGGAAGCAGAGGTGCCCTGCACCCTAGCGAACATGTCGATCGACATACGCGTACCTTATCGCAAGGCCGACACGAATGTAAGATTGCTAAGATTCCTAGGGTATATATCTTGATCCAACTTTGTCTACAACGGTATCAACTTCCTCGCCGTATCTTTATAACAGGCTAATAGAACCTTAAGCGTGCCAATCAGCGCTAGCACGCGTGGTACTTGCGACAGGAGAGGAGAAATGGAGCTAAGCTGGCCAGAATCTGTGAATAACAAGATCGTGATGGATAAGATTATATTTTATATCGCTCAGAATAAGACTCATTTCTTCGTTTACAACATAGAAGGAAGCATTTATTTGGACGAGAAACATTTCCCAGACGCTACCAGTACGTTAAAGAATCTGTGCAAGGCTGGAAGATCTCGCACAGGGTGCATGAAAATAATTTGTCACGTTTGCAGCCCGATTCTGACCGATCTTCGGATCGCTGAGCATCCGTTTAGAGAAGCAATGACGATGACAAATGATTCTCACGCACACTATGCACCTATGTATCGTACATACGTCCGATTTTCCTAGTCGAGGATTTTCGCGATTGACGCATGCTGACGATTTCAGATAAGAACGCGTTAATAACCGGTCTGTCGGATATGAATCTCAACGTATTCGCGGCACCCCTGGACAAAGGACTGTACAGTTGTTTGAATCAGACCCAGGAAATCGAGCTGAAAAATTTCACCTTGATTCTAACCAATGTTTCGTTCGTCGCCTTCAATACCGACGAGTATATGAACTCCAAAGAGGGTAAGGTTAATCGCGAATCGCAAATTCTTCCAAGTGCAACGAGATTTTTCTCAATTCCCAGTGAGGAGCTGCGCCAGTCCAGGGGGCGACGTGACTCCTAGCCCCACGACGCCGTCAACCACCTCGGTGACGCCGTCCACTACCCAGTCTACAGCACCGACACCTTCGACGAACCCACCTGAACCTAATTCCCCCGTGGATTTTAATTACGTCGTGGTGAACGCGACAACGCATCTACCTTGCATCGTAGCGAACATGTCGATCTCCGTGAAAGTACCTTTCGCGACGAAAGAATCTAACGTAAGCGTCCAATCTGTTATACCTTGCTTCCACTATTCTTCGTTTTAATCGCCCGATTAATCTAATTCGCGATTATTATCCTATTAACGGTGTCCGTTTTAGAAAACCACCAGCTTGAAGGTGCCGAAAACAGCGAAGGCATTCGGCACGTGCAAGGAGCCGACATCGACGATGGAATTAATTTGGTCGAACGTGAATTCGAGTTCTACCGCGAAGACCGAGGGCGAGGAAAATATCGTGGCCATTACTTTCGAGAAAAGGGAGTCGGAATATTCCATCCATTCCATCGACTTGGATATTTACATGGACGAGCAGAGCTTTCCCGGCGCCTTGGGTAAGAAATTAGACCGCGATTGCGGCAAGCTTTACGCTGTTTGAGGATGTCGAAGTAAATCTCTTAACGATTCTCGGTTTAGATAAGAGGTATAAGGCTGTCACGGAAAATCTCACTGTATTCTCCGCCCCTCTGAACAATGTCTATAAATGCAAGCCTGAGACTGTGCTGAGAGCCAAAAGCGCTGGCATAACTATCAGTAACGTTGCCCTGATGGCGTTCAACAGCGAGAAGACTGTTGCCTCGAGATCGGGTAAATCAGTGGATCAGTGGAAATTGTCGATTACGGTGACTTGGGAAAGTATTCGAGCGTTTGTGTCGGAATTTTCAAAGGAACGAAATACGCGTTGGACTCTGTTTCAATCTTAAAAAGGATAGTGCACCTGCGGTGAGAAGCAGGATCTCGTACCAGAACGGGTGATACCGGTGTTATAAATATCGGTAGTATCTTTGTAACCCTTGCAAAATCTGAAATGCAGAAATACCGGTATAGTGTCATATCGCTGCGCGAAGATACCGGTATATTTACCTGCGTTTACAGGTAAATATGGTCTTTTTACTTGGTCACGGAATTTTCAAGATTTCCTTGTGCAGACAGGGAAATTGATACCCCTTCCTCGTGTGATTCCAAGTATTATCGTCTTGAGTCCCTTGCCTGATTATATTATTCGCGTTAATTCGCTCCTTTCTGTGATTCTTCGCTTCGAAAATAGGCCTAAGTAAGGCCCAATTTTCGTATTTTCCATAGAAAATTATTTGGAAAATTTGTGTAGACTATTAGGGAAACTATTATATTAGTTTCGTGAATTCCCTCGTTCTCGCGATTCTTCGCTTCAAAAGTAGGCCTAAGTAAGGCCCAATTTTCGTATTCTCCATAGAAAATTATTTGGTAAAATTTTGTAGACCGTTAGGAAAACTATTATATTAGTTTCGTGAATTCCCTCGTTCTCGCGATTCTTCGCTTCAAAAGTAGGCCTAAGTAAGGCCCAATTTTCGTATTCTCCATAGAAAATTATTTGGAAAAATTTTGTAGACTGTCAGGAAAACTATTATATTATTTCTGTTAATTCACTCGTTCTCGCGATTCTTCGCTTCAAAAATAGGCCTAAGTAAGGCCCAATTTTTGTATTTTCCATAGAAAATTATTCGAAAAAATTTTGTAGATCTATACGAAAACGATTATATTATTCGCGTTAATTCTTTAACCAAAGTCCCCAAATTTTACGCGAGGAATTTAATTAATCACCACGTTGATGTCGCAATTTTTCGTAGAAATACCGGTCCTCAAAAATTTTGTGGCCCATTGCGAAATGACACAGATTTTTGGAATAATCAAAGGAAAGCAAGATTAAAGGAAGATTTTACCGAATGTTGTTAGGCAGAATATTTCAATTTAGAAGTGCAGAACTATCTTCGAGGTCTGGGTCCAGCGTGTGCACGTCATTCAGCAAAAGTGCATAAGTGTTCGAGTACTTTCGCGAAGATCTGTAACATTCGTCGAATTTCTGCATGTGGGGAGTGAGGTATTAAAGATTCGATCGTTTCAGTGAACTGCGTGGCCGAGTCGGGTTCAAACGTTGGAGCCATAGTAGGTGGAGTGATCGCAAGTGTCGCTGTGCTGGGCCTGATCGGGTTCCTCTTCGTGATGTACAAGAGGAAGAGAAGACTCGCCTAACCGGTAGAAGAGATTCTATCGAATAGAATAAATCGCGTGTTCCAACGAATAAATTAATTTTTAATTTAATCTCCAATCTGTCAAAGCGTCCGCAACATGTCAACAACAATGCTCGCGCCGTTTCCCATTGTTCCGCTCACGAAATTCACGTTTCGACAGACCCACGCGAGCCACCAACACATGGCGCTGGGAAAGTATATTCGTTAATTATCCCGCTTTAGGAAACAATTCGATGCTTCGACCACCCCTCGTGTTTACCCGTCACGGTTACGCCCACCCCAATTATCTCGTTTACTCGCCAAACTGCGATACGGTTGCGTCGCGCAGTCGTGTGAATCGAGGATCGATTTCAGCGCGAAATCGCTAAATTACTCGAGAATCCTCTATATCCGAAATTAACCGAAGCAGTGACGGGCTTAGTCATCAAAAGACCCGGGACATTACGAATTTTGGGGGCCCAGTTTTCCATATTTCATTCCCCCCATCGTTAAAAAGCTATACTTAGGTTACATTCGAGATCGGTAGATTTAAATAAATTTATTATGTACTATACACAGGATCTAGTTGACACTAGGTTTACAGACACTATCTGTATACCTATTTCTAAGGACACAAGGTGCAGCCCTTCCGTCAAATTGAGGGGTTCCGTAAATCTAGTGTTAACTTTCGGTACTACTGCCGCGCAATGGCGGCGGCCATGAAACGTTCTCTAAATGCTACCGTCGTCTATTTGCGGCATTTTGTGAAACGTCACCGATGACTGTCGCGATCCAAATGAAAAGTTTAATGTGAATCACGCTGGAAATTTCTACGAACACCGCAAAACGCGATTTCGCGGCTTCCAGTGCAACCACTCTTGTGGGAAATTTCCTCGTACCACGAACGTATAACCGCGGCCAGCTTCTCCGTACCAAAAGTGTTAATATTAAATAAATTTGTTACGTACTATACTCAGGGTTTAGTTAAATAATACGCGAAGCAAACGTGACGTGGTCCCCTGCAGAAGAGTACGCGAGAGATGTAAAATAAAATGGTTGGTTTCCACGGTCGAGAAAATGGACGTTCACCGAGCCATGGGTAGGCCATGGAATGTCTCTTTCCGATTGATATCGGTTAGGTTATGTTGTAACGTACCGTCCTATCGGAATAAACGACGAAAAACGTGGTTTTACGCGAAGCATGATACGCGCGAGGCCGGAAGGAGGTCATATTTCATAGGAATTCCGGGTGAAATTAGATCAAATGCTAGACACACCCCTTCGTTTAGTAGTCGGGTATCGCATGGTGGATAACAGATGTCGCAATAAAATCCACGATAATCAGCGTTAATCGCTCGGCAAGAATGTTCGGGATCGTTGTGGCTGCCTATCGATCGAAATTCCCGCCATGCGTGGGAATTGAGCGGCCATTAGGAAAAAGGTTGGTCTACACCTACACATCGGAGATATCCCACAGCAGGTTTCACCCTGGCGAAAAAGACAACGATTTCCGTTTTCACACGATCAGCTTCGGATCATTGGTTCCCTCTGACAGGCGGGATAATTGCTCAGTTTGAATTACGCCATTTCTATACGCCATTCGCGTAAATTACTCTTGATAAAGGAAATTTAAATACCCACGTCGCGATGCATAACGGAACACTGCGGGAACAGGAAGGTGTTACCTGCACGGTGAAATTTAAATCCTGCACGTTTGATATACCTGGGACGTTGCTAGGTATACTGAAACTGGGAGCTTAACCACTTTTCTCTGACAATAACGCTGTTTATGGACTAGTACAACGAAGAAGGTACGATGGGGCTGGGAAATTTGAAATTTGGAAAGAAACTGACGAAAAGTTTGCTGGTTCACTGGCAGAGGCACTCGTGCGAGGATGTCACCTCGCAATGGCGCAGGTTCCCATTTTCCCGCCATTTTCACGAATATCGTTGCGAGTCGATTGTAGGTTTAAAAATTGTCCGGTTTAAAAATCTTTTCAAGGTGTTCAGAATTTATCACACAGGATACCTGGCCACCTTAGAACGCGTCAGCTGTTCGAGGGTCGTCCCTTTAAAGTTTAAAGGTCCTGGAAACCCTATTATGCACCTCGTTCCTCGAGCCGGGTCCTCTTTTACGACGTCCTGTGGATCGTAAGCTGCGGAAAATATCTAAGCAGCACCTTTTGCTTAGACGGCAAGTTCATGGGAAAATAGGGAGGGACGATTTTTCCTAGACCCTCGTACGCCGGCAAGTGTTCCTTTCATTGTATTGTGTCGATGTACGGTGCACGAGTACGGTGCACGCTTCAATTATCGCCAGTTTGCAGAGGCTTCCTGCGCACGTCCTCGGAGGATACCAAGCGTCGTGCAAACGGAAACTTGAAATTCGTAATTCGAATCGCGTGATCGATCATCGACCGAACGCCTTGCTTACACGATCGCATGGAACAAACGTGTGTTCGCCGATGTCGACATATTTTTTTCCATTCGTTAGAAGGATTTCCAGCCGTGTCGTCCAGCTGTCAGGAAAAGTCGGGTTGTCCTCGCCGATAATGGTCTAATTTGAATTCTTATCCTGCTCCGTTCCCTGCTGGTAGACAGCATCCCAATATCAATAAATCTCGAAGGCCTGAAAGACCAGGCACGCGTGCCAGAAGGATCAGCCACGTGGCTACATCTTCCTTCCAAGAAACGATTTGTGTTCTAACCGAAACTACTCTTCGTCTACGGCCTCTTTCGGCACGAACCATTGCTTCTACCTAAGTCTGCCTTTTTCCGACTCCGTATGCTCTCTGTCAGGACCTCCTGAATCCTTGTTGAAGATTTAACTTCGTCCAATTAAAAATTTTTAACAGTTGCTCACTGTATATTTATTTTATTCGCGATAAGATCTTGCAACGATTTTCAAGCTTCTGTCAATTTCGTGCACGTTGGGATAAGTATAATTCTAGCCACGAGACAAATATAGTCAGTCCATATGCTCTCTGTCAGGACCTTCTGAATTCTTGTTGAAGATTTAACTTCGTCCAATTAAAAATTTTTAACAGTGGCTCACTGTATATTTATTTTAATCGCGATAAGATCCTGCAACGATTTTCAAGCTTCTGTCAATTTCGTGCACGTTGGGATAAGTATAATTCTAGCCACGAGACCAATATAGTCAGTCCATATGCTCTCTGTCAGGACCTTCTGAATTCTTGTTGAAGATTTAACTTCGTCCAATTAAAAATTTTTAACAGTGGCTCACTGTATATTTATTTTAATCGCGATAAGATCCTGCAACGATTTTCAAGCTTCTGTCAATTTCGTGCACGTTGGGATAAGTATAATTCTAGCCACGAGACCAATATAGTCAGTCCATATGCTCTCTGTCAGGACCTTCTGAATTCTTGTTGAAGATTTAACTTCGTCCAATTAAAAATTTTTAACAGTGGCTCACTGTATATTTATTTTAATCGCGATAAGATCCTGCAACGATTTTCAAGCTTCTGTCAATTTCGTGCACGTTGGGATAAGTATAATTCTAGCCACGAGACCAATATAGTCAGTCCATATGCTCTCTGTCAGGACCTTCTGAATTCTTGTTGAAGATTTAACTTCGTCCAATTAAAAATTTTTAACAGTGGCTCACTGTATATTTATTTTAATCGCGATAAGATCCTGCAACGATTTTCAAGCTTCTGTCAATTTCGTGCACGTTGGGATAAGTATAATTCTAGCCACGAGACCAATATAGTCAGTCCATATGCTCTCTGTCAGGACCTTCTGAATTCTTGTTGAAGATTTAACTTCGTCCAATTAAAAATTTTTAACAGTGGCTCACTGTATATTTATTTTAATCGCGATAAGATCCTGAAACAATTTTCAAGCTTCTGTCAATTTCGTGCACGTTGGAACGTGATAAGTACAATTTTAATCGCGTTACACGTATAGTTACTGTCTTCGTGGAAAACTCCTGACGAGTAGGAATCCACAGACTTATCACTGTAATTATAGCGCAAAGGTCCTGACTTTATTCTTGTAACAAAACCGTGACAAAAAGGTGGCAAGGTTCGAGTCGCGAAAATTTTGTCAGTCGCAAATTTACGAAATGCGAGAAATTTGAAGGTAAAGATACTATATAAAAGAATCGCGAGAATCGTTCGAAGTTAAATTTCTTTCACTACCAGGCAACGCTTCATTCTTAGAGTGGCGAAAGACTGGCTCGGTGTGAGGTGGCGAACGAAGGAGTTGGCAAACACCTGTTCTATGCGACTAAAATGGATGTTTCGAGCGATAAGCCAGCGTCTGGATCTAAACGGGAGATCTCGAAACGCGCAGTCGAGCTGCGAATTTAAATTTACCCTCGGTTACACTGGCGTCCATAGGCGTCGCGTAGGAGGAAATCGCGTGTGACATAACCACGGGCAATTCGACGCGGGGAAAAAGGAACGTTAACCGACAGTTTCGAAGCTTCCACAGGCTTCCCGTTCTTCCTCTTCTCTCCTCGTGTCGGAGAGCAGCGCCGGCCGCAAGACGTTTTGGAAGTATGAGGGCGCAGATGGGATTGTGTTTAATGAAGTTTGGCCCGAGTTGCACCTGCCACTTTCGAGGCATCTCGGACCAACGGCCGTTACACTGCCTCGAGCAGACTTTAAGAAATTGGCGGGAACCTTGTTCCCAAGCCCCTTTTGAGATTCGATCATGCTCACTGTGTCTGATTCTATGCCCATCTCCGATCCCTCCGCCATTCTCTCGTGTTCCACGAGCATGATCGGCCAAGCTCGATCGCGAGATTGTCGTAGGTTAAGCTGACAAACTGGGCTTACACTCAGCCATCGCGAGACAAGGGAATAAATTAACGAAAAGAAATTCTGCGATCAGAGGAAGCCGATTATTCGAGAGAAAGAAAGGAGGTAGTCGAACTTCTTGGAATTCCATTTCTTTGTATCGATGGGTCCCGATGTGTCACCTTTTCTCCGCCGAACGGATGTGTCCTTCCTGCTTCCGGTTGGACCGATGGAACACGAGAGCCCGTCTAATATCAGATCGGCGGATGCTCGACCAACGATTTAACCGACGTCGAATAATTCGCACCATTTTTCTAGATCCATCTATAGATACAGGCAAACCGTTTAACGCGAGACCTAGGAAATTAGTCGAAATGACAGGTCCTCTTTGTTCGTGCAATTATCGAGAACGTACTTTTGCTTTTAACTCTTTGGGGCACGCTGGGATTAAAATCCCACCTGTTTGATGCACCCTATTCCATGGTGGGATATTATTAGATTTATATTTCATCTTATTTACGTGAAACAGTTGGTCACACCTTTGATAATTGCTATAAATGTATTCGCTCGTGTTGGCAACAATTGTTACAAGCGGAAGGTTTTTCGCGACAATCTTTTTCTCCCGGTTTTATATGAAAAATCGTAAAAGTAAGTTAATTTTTATAAAAATTAGTTCTATATCGATTTTGTTTCATTTAAAACGCAATAAAATTTCTATGCAACGTGGGTCTATCTTATTATCTGAAATCCTGTGCCGCAAAGAGTTAACCAAATTGATAATTGGTATTCGGTCGCTATCTGTATACCTATTTCTAAGGACAGCTGTCAAATTGACAGGTAATGGAAATCACGTGCCTTTCTTTTAACGATTAGTTTAATTTAAAAACAATTATATATTAT